GCTCTCCGGCACCGTCCCTGTCCCTGGCAGCACCTCCACCTCCTCTTCGTCTTCTTCTCCGCCACCTCCTCCTCTCTCCCGGGACGACAAGGGGCCAGGTCTGGGGCTGATGCAGTTCCGATGGATCATCTTCTCCTGCGGTTCCGCAGCGGGGCTCCCCACTGCTTCGGACAAATTAGGCACCCTCTTGCCAACTAGAGCGCCAAGAGTAGTCCCCTCCAGAAACATCACCATCTCCTTCCTGGTTTCCATTGTGGCTTTGCTTAAGGGAGGGGAGAAAAAAATCCAGATCTCTTCCCCCCCTCCCTCCTGCTCCCGCCCCAGCCTTGAACAAACCCAGCAACCCTCTCCTGGCAATGCAGAGGAGCCAGCGGTGAGATAGGGTGACCTTGTGATGCGAGCGCTACACTCGGCTGTGCTGCTCTGGGAGGGATCACCATTGCCCTCTTCTTTCTAAGCTGTCATCCTCAATGGTGCAGTCGTCATTACAGTACCACCGGTGACGCCACACATTGATTGCCAGTGGATAAATAGAAACGTCTGCCATTGGGAAGATGAAAGGAAGAGCCGGAGCGAATGGGCTAAATGCGTGATGCACCAGGTGTAGGAGCCCGAGATGGAGAGGGAAGTGTGAAAAAGAGATGCATATGGAGCTGCAAAGATGTTGTAACATGCGGAGAGAGTTCCGCGGGGGGAAGCCTTGCCTGACAATTAAATAGCCCTTTGACTGCTTTAAGGCATTACCTTGATGTAGAATTGAGGCGAAGATTCTTAGCTGCATCCTGGAAGTGAGAAGATACGTACTCAAGCCTCTTCCTTGGATGCATTATTTATTGCTGGCAATCGGCTTCCGCCTAACTGCATATATAAGGCTTCTAAGAATCCTTTGCAAACTTGAGGATAAAGAAATGCGCTGCTGACATTTGAATGTAAAAATAGCTTTGATTTCTCGCTCTGGGTCAATATCGGTTCCTATCGGTATAATTGTCATTGCTTTCTGTTTACTGAGATTAAAACGTTAGTTTACCAATTGGAAATTCTGATATATATTTATTGCTTCTGACTTGTGAAAAGATTCAACTACTTCACTTGTAACTGTAGTTATTCTGGTTATCTGCTGTTTATCGTTTGCTCTTATTTTTTCCTTTGCTTTTTCCATGTTTCCACGATTCTTATGCTTTTATGAAGGTTTTGTGTTTCCTCTCCTTTCTTCTTTTTAACTAATTGTTTTGCACAAATTATTATCTACTTTCGGGGCGGAGGTGGGGGAAATGCAAGAAGAAGCTCTGCCAAGAATAATTCAGGCTCAGAAAAATGCAAGTTATCAAGGCCAGAGCTTAGACTAGTGAGCAGATGTTGTTAAAGCAGACATGACAAGGGCAACCATTTGGACAGCACTTGTCTGAAAATAAGGGACCTTGTACCATAAATATAGCGGCACATGTAATCTTTTTTGTGTATTATGATATTTCTAACGAATGCGGTAAGGATCTCATCTTTAGTTAATATTGCCTCACACGTGTAGTGTCAAGTCATTTTTCGCCATCTGTCGTAACTAGGTTGTTCTAAATTTTTTTTTCTCGGAGTGTTATTGGCTAGTCAGGATACAGAAAACATTCAACCAATTACAATCCCAACCCGGTAAGGAATTTACTGGCATATCTGAGGTGACGTTGCTTCGGTGGGGAACAGGCAGAGCAATAGGAAACATGCTGGGATTTTCCGTCTAGCCCTGTGAGCAGGATGCAGAGAGACAAACAAACAAACATACAAGCAAACAAGATTCCCGGTCTGCTGGATGCATGGATTAAGGAGTGCTCCTGGCAATAAGCATACTATTTTCAGGGTGATAAACCACGAAGTTTTACAGGGCTGTGGCAACAATTTGTCCATGCAAACGCACATGATGCACATAACACACTCTGGACAGTGTTGCTTTCCACCACACGTTGTGAAGCCTGCACTGCTCCAAAGCTTGCAAAATCCTTGAAAACTCATTGTTAAATTCCCTTTCCCTTCTCTCCCCTGGCAGCCTCTAGACCGACGTGTGCCCTGTGAGGACGTGCCGCCCATCCCTGCCACCCATCCCTGCCGCAGCCGGGCTCGGCTCCGCGGGCTGTGTGAGTGCGGAGACGGGGAAGCAGGACCAGGTCCGGGTGCATGGATGGATGGAGGGATGGATGGATGGATAAGGCAGTCCGTCGTCGGTGCTGAGCAGAGCAGAAGGGCAGCGCTGATCCCGCTGAGAGGAGCGGTGCGGACCGGAGCTGTGGGGCAAGGCCAGACAGGGCGAGGCGGGGGTGCTCGGGCAGCGCTCGGTCCGTGCCGCGCTGCGCCGCTTCCCACGGCTGGCGGCGTGGGGTTTGCGCTTTGTCCGAGTAAGCAGGGGAGGTGTGTTCGTGTTCCTGACACCTCCGCGGGCAGTGTGAAGGTTCAGCCTCCCCCTGGGCCGACGGTATCCCCAGCTTCCCGAGGAAGCTCACCTCCAGCCTCTTCCCTAGCTCTGCCAAGCAGCCCTGTGGGAAGAAGCTGACTGGTATCTATGGCGGACAGAGAGGATTTCCGCATCACAACGAGTTTGGTGGTAGTAAGAAGAGGGATATTCATGTCCGTTCCTAAATAAGACCGTAATCGGGAGCTGAATCTTGAGTGCAAGGAAGCGCTCCCAGGGCGGGCGATGGAAACGACTGGGGGGAAATGAGTGGGAAATCCTCCCTCTGGCAGACTGGAGCCCTGGGGATGATTCCTGTGGATTATGCTGGCCGATGCCCAGGAATTTTATCATCTTCGTTTACGAGTCACGGCTGCCTCCTTCCTTACCCCATTCTTAATGCGTGTGCACCAAGAAGCCACCCCTCTTGTACCCCGGGTCGGAGGTTTTGTTGTGCCCGAGACAATGGTCATTGCCACGGAAGGTTTGATGCAGCCTGCAGCAGGACAGGCTGCGGAGCACCCCGGCACGGACAGACGTCCGCCCGCCCTCCCCAACAACACATGCTTTAATTTGCCAAGGGTAAACACAGAGAGTTAAAGGCCAAAGTGGAATCTAAGAAGGGGGGGTGGGGAGGGAAAAAAAAGTACTGGAAATTTTGGGGTCATTTAGATTGGATTAGTAAAGGCTTCTTAAAATGTCTATTTTTCCATCCCCCAGGAAGAGTTCCGCCGCGAGAGCCCCTGGCATGTCAACGAGCCAGTGACGCGGCGTGGCGGAGCGAGGAGCCCCGTCCCGTTCTCTGCCACCGCACGGGAGTTTTCCCCCACCGGGAATGCGGGGTCCGGCACGCTGCCTTCTGTCTAGTGTTTCTCTCAGTCTGTCATGCTCCATTTGGAAGGAGACTCCCTCATTCGGGATTAATTTCCAGGCAGATTGGAAAGTGTATGCCAATGGGTGTGGGTGGTTTTTTTTCCTGCATTCTCCAGACGGAGATATAAACCCTATTCTCTGTCGCTCTCTAGGTCACAGCCAGGATGCCATAAATACGCTCAAAACTTTCCAAATTTATTTATTTCTCCGAGTTTGCAGCTTTCCTTGCTGATATATGGCCAAGGCGGGATCTGGACACCGAATCCCACCTTAACGCTGAAATGTAGTATATGAAAAGCAAACTAAACACACACATCCTCCCTTCCCAAAACGAGAAATAATAGGGGAACATTAAAACATTGCTAGAGTGATATGCTCATAAATCAGGCATTGTCCTTGAAAGTGCTAAGCCTGCAGAAGGAAAGTCACATCACACCCTCCTTCCCTGCGGGATATTTCTTTTTTTTAGCCAGTCAACAGGGTGTCAACAACTTTTGACCGGTACTGTCCAGTTAGGACTGGGAACCCACAATCAGTTTCTCTTAAAAAACCCTGAGATCTTGACGTCTTTTAAAAAGGAAGAAAGTTTTGACATACCACGGAACAACTTAGTGCCGCAAAAAGTGATACCTAGCTCAAATGGGTGACCAAACCAGAAAACCTATTTTTAAATTTTTAATGGGTAGTGTTAACAATAATGGCGTAATTATCACTGTTTTATTAAGGCTATTTTTTACGACATGATTAGAGGTGGAAGCTTTGGAGAGAAGAGAATAATAGGCGCATTATTCTTGTGTGTAAAGACAAGCTGGTACAATGACAGCACGTAACACGTAAGTGGCCTTAAGGAGAGAGAGGACAGAGCCGTGAGTGGGATGTGCCTAGGAAAGCATGTAATGGTATTTACAGGATCCGATCCAGGACACATTTCTGCCTCCCTGTACCTCTGAATGCCCGATCCCGGCACCTCCGCGAAGAACATCTGTCTGTTCTGGATGGATTCTTTGGGTTTTTTCTCTGTTGGCTGTCCGAAGCAGCACCTCATTGTCATCGCATAGGTTCTGGAGATATTTGCCTTGTTAAACCAAAATCTAGGGGCAGGGGGGCGCGGGGAAGTGCACGACTCCCTCTCATAGGACATTCAGGACAAGTTTGACTGTGGAAACTAAATCTTCTGCTTTACTAACGATAGTGAGTAAATAGTGAGGAATTTGGGCTTTCGATTTCAATTCCTATCTCTCCCAGACTCGCCGAGAGCCATAAAACTGCGGCAATCTTTTAATGTTAGAATGAGCAGTAGAAACACGATCTGGGGGGCAAACTCCTAGATTTGAAAACAAAAAGGTATTTATGAAGTAAAAATCATTCAGAGGAAGGCACAGGTAAATAAAATCTGACAGTATTTCAGTGGTTCTCGCGACTAGACTTTTTTTTTCTTAAAGATTTGATTTAAGGAGAACTGAGCTAGCAGCCCTTCGTGCTGTGCACTTTCGAGATTTCCCCCTGCGGGTCGCCTGAGACCTGGTGCTCCGAAATATCTCTCAGAGAAACACTGAGGAGTTTCAGGGGAGTGCTCAAAGGAGGAGACATAAGCGGGGATGAGGCATTATCAGGAGAAAACCGCAGGAATGCCAGAGGCGAACACACATTCTTTCACCCAATTTAGTATTTTGGTGTCCTACTTCATTTAAAACAAACTGGAGGCCCAGAAGGGGCCGAGAGGAGCGGTGCTGCCTGCCGGAACGCCGCAGCCTGCCCGTCCTCCCGTCAGGGCTCCGGTACCGGCCCCACCGCCGGCTGAACGCCGGGACACCCCGGCTCATTCTCCCTTTGTCCCCCCCAGGCAGGCGATAATGTCCCGGAGAGACGGTCTCCTGGCCCTTCCCTGAAGGAAATGCTTGAAACGAGGGGTATTTGCAGCGCGCTGTGTCTGCTGTAAGCAAGCGGCTTATGGCCAGAACCAGCGGCTCTCTGCGCCCTCTTGCAGCCCTGTCGCTTTCCAGCCTGGTTCTGCTCCAGATAGGCCAAACCCTGGCATTTTTACTATGATGAGGATGCTTTTATACGGAGCCTCATGAACACGTGCAGAAAGGAGCATAGGTGTGGCTCAGAGCATTGGGCACTGACGCTAAGAGGTGGAAAT